TCAGCCTCCCGAGCACTGGGATTACAAGTGCACGCCACCACACTCAGTCTCAATCACGCTCTCAGCACGTCCCCAGGTCAGGGCAGGAACTGAATGCTGGGGATCGAAGGCCGGCCGCTGAGCTCTGCCTAAGCAGGCGCTTTAGTCTGCTGCTCTATCAGACTGGCCTGAATTTCTTTTTCTTAATACAAAAATTAAACAGCAACAACAACAAAACCAACTTATTTATGCAGCTTGGACTCATATTGATCCTCCTGTCTTAGCCTCCCTAGCGCGGGGATAACAGGTGTGTGCCACCAGCCTGGTCTGGTGGCCGGCACGGCAAGCCTGGGGTTCTGGAGCCAGCAGGGAAGGCAGTACTGGGATCAAACCTGGGTCCTTGTGCTTGCCAGGCACGTGCTTAGACCTCTGAGCTATCATCCCAGCCTTTCTTTCTTGAATATCTGAAGGCTGAAAATCCAAGATAAGGTTGCAGGAGGATCAAATTGTGGTATAGCACTCTTTATTTGGGGGTGGGAGGGTTTGCACACTGCTTCTTCTCAGGTGGAAAGAAAGATCCTGGACCCCTCTGGGCCTCACAAGGCACTCATCTGTTCAACGTCATCATAGCTTCGTTGCTTACTCATTTGTATTTGGCTCTGTGAAAGCATTCAGCTCCTGTACACAATACTATTGTGTTGGTGGTTAGGATTTCAAAATATGAACTCGGGAAAAATACATTCAGACCATTATTCTGCTCAGTATGAAATCTGTACTATTTTATGTAATTGGTGTGGTTTACACCAATTACATATAGCTTTACACACATTTAACAATTTCTCCACTTTCCATGTTTTCTTATATATAACTTCCCAAGGATCTGTTGGTGATAACCTATTTTTATTTGGTTAAAAATGACTGCGTTTCATGTTTGCTATTGAAATAAATCTGCTTTTTTAAATCTCTGAACCCTTCTTTACTATGTCTTTGGCCTTTTCTGTAATTTCACTAGAATCAGTTAATTCTTTTCTCAGTTGGTAGTAACTTGCTATTTAATAACACCACTGGAGCTTGTCATTTTTTGCCATCATATTTTTAATTCCTAGAAGTTGTATTTGCTTCTCTTCCAATTCCATTTCCTTTTTGATACAATCTCATTGTTTTACTTACGTTATATATGGCTATTTGAAAACATCCTAGGCATTTATATAGTTTTCTTTATCTGAAAAATTATTATCTTAAGTTTTACAGAAGTCTAGTTCTGCTCTTTGTATTTTTTTCTGTCTCCTGCTCATAGCGCTGATTTCCTGAGTGACCCTGCAGTTTGCATTGCGAGCTCATGCTTGGTGGTCTTTATCTGTTCAAACTCTGTGACCCCTGATTGAGTCTAAGTCCCTTCAGACTGCATTTGTGTTTGCTTCTGCCAGGCAGTCCCGGGTTGCTATCGATCAAAGGCCATCTTAAATTCATTTCTTGCCTTAAGATTTTCTGGTCAGCCAAGAAGTGTAAGTCTGAACTCCAAACACGGTGAGGAAGGGCTGGTGGTTACCTAAGGAGAATGCTCTCCCTACACTCAGTACTTGTTCCAAAATAGTTCAGTGCCCCGAGCACCAGAATGTGCTGAAGGTAGATAACTTCTAGTGTGATTGTGAGCATAGCCTTTTAGGATCCTGGCACTATCTTGGGTGTGAGCCTGACTTGCCTTATAATCCAAACACAAGGCTTGGCACAAAAAGCCACAAGACCGCTGACATTCCAGCATTATCAACACTCGTAAATGACCTGCAGGTGCTGTGGCCCCAGCCTGAGCTTGCCATGCTGGCTTTCCGCTCTGTTTTTTAAGGGGGTGATCCTTGGGATTATTGTCACACTTTTATAAATCCCGATGTTTGTTGTTTTATTTTATCCAACACTAACAGCTGTTCTTCATTGGACCTTCTTCTCCCCAGAATATAAAGATTCTACCCTGATGCCAGAAGTGGAGGCAAGTATAATTTTAAAAGTGTAAAAAATATCTAAAATGAATATTCAGTTATTATGAAAGTATTAAATTTTCTTTGCGCCCTAAAAACACGACATGTCTTAGTGTTTTTCCCCTCTAGTCTGGATAAATACAATGTCTTTTGACATAGTGAATTACCTTTGG